CTCTCCTGCTGATCTGCCCACTGCACCCTTGCAACCAGACCACTTCCACACTTTCTCTAATAAATCTGCCTTTCTTTACCTACAATTACCTTGGTAAATTCCTTTACTACCTGCAACACTAGCCGCAGCTAGTTGTGACCTATGACAGTGAGGATGAACACAAGAAAACACACTATGGGCACGGTTCCGCTTTTCAGTACTTGGTTGACAGGAGGCTGATAATCTGCCTAATTGTGCTCTGCTTCCTTTAGATGAATACTGCTGCTGCCTCTTAAAACTTCATTTGAGACCACATAATTATGAATTTCTATCAAATTTTGTCCAACCCAAACAAAATGTGTTATCTTCACTGATCACACATCCAAATGCCTTTATATCTGTACATATCATATTTATGCCAGTTTTGCTGTAGATGGAGTTGGCTGGGCATGGTGGCTCACATCTGTAATCCCAGCACTTCAAGAGGCCAGGATTACACTTTGGGAAGCTGAGACAGGTGAATCACTTGAGGTCAGGAGTTTTGAGACCACCCTGGACAACATAGTGAAACCCTATCTCTACTAAAAAATACAAAAATTAGCTGGGTGTAGTGGTACACACCTGTAATCCCAGCTACTAGGGAGGCTGAGGTAGGAGAATCGCTTGAAACCAGGTGGCAGGTTGCAGTGAGCCAAGATCGAGCCACTGCACTACAGCCTGGGCAACAGAGGGGAGACTACATCTTAAAAAAAAAAAAAAGTAGAAAAAGTAGGTAGAATCATAAAACATCTACCAAGTACATGCCTCTTTAAAGACATCATTTAAGTAAAAGCTGCAGTTCTACTTTTACGGAATTTTTATTTAAAAATACGGTATTTGGGCTGGGCGCCGTGGCTTATGCCTATAATCTTAGCACTTTGGGAGGCCAAGGCAGCAGAATCACTTGAGCTCAGGAGTTTGAGAGACCAGACTGGACAACATAGTGACAACTCATCTCTATTTGAAAAAAAGAAAAAAAAAAGGAAAAAAAAAAAAAAGAGAGCCAGGTACAGTGGTGCACGCCTGTAGTCTCAGCTACTCAGAAGGCTGAGGCAGGAAGATCGCTTGAGCCCAGAAGTTCTGGGCTGTGGTATGCTACGCCTATCAGGTGTCCACACTAAATTTAGCATGAATATGGTGACCTCCCAGGAGTGAGGGACCACCAGGTTGCCTAATGTGGGGTAAACTGGCCCAGGTTGGAAACAGGAGGTCAAAACTCCCACGCTTATCAGTAGTAGGACTGCATCTGTGAAAAGTCAATGCGCTCCAGCCTGGGCAACACAGTGAGCCCCTGCCACTTAAAAAAAAAAAAAAAAAAAAAAGCAAGCATGAAATCCACTTCTCTGCTAACTTCTAAAAAATTAGTCTTAGTTCTTTTCTTTCTCTTTGCCAGAGAAAGCAGAATCTAATTTTAAAATTTAAAAGTACTATGTGGCTTCATATAACATACTTTGTCTACTGCTAATTCTCCTGAACTTGATATGAGCATGTAATAGGATATTAAAAGAGTATGGTAAAAGTAAAGAATACCTCATCTTAAAAAACTAATTTGGATGAGGTTTCTCCAAGTATACTTTTAAAACATTATTTTGACTTCTACGCTACGTATATACTTTACATATTCAAAAATAAAATAAAATCCTAAGGAAAAACTGAAACCTATGAACCATATCAAATTGGTAGCATAACCAGAGAAAAGTATTTTAAATGACTTTTGAACACAGTACTCATTATACATTTTTCATGCAATATATTCTAAATATGAAAATAAATGCAAAAAAAATCTTAAACTTTATTAAGCTTATTGATATTAGTAATACCAGCACTGTAATTTTAAAATGATTTTATGTATATAGTGAGAGAAAGCAAATACATTTATTAATTTTTTTTTTGAGACGGGGCTCACTCTGTCATCCAGGCTGGAGGGCAGTGGCTTGAACATGGCTCACTGCAGCCTCAACCGGGGCTCAAGCGATCCACCTGCTTCAGCCTCCTGAGCAGCTGGGAACACAGGCACACACCAACATGCCTGGCTAATTTTTTTTATCTTTTGTGCAAATGGGGTCTCATCATGTTGCCCAGACTGGCCTTGAACTCCTGGGCTCAAGCAATCCTTCCACCTCAGCCTTTCAAAGTCCAGAGATTACAGGCATGAGCCACCATGCTTAGCCAGTTTATTAATTCTATTAAAGATTTTCATTTAAGATAAGAGACAAATACAGAGTCAAGGAAGAAAAAGTCTGCTTGCTAAATAGGAATTGGAATATCACTCTGAACTCATGATTAAACAAACTTAGTTTTCTCCTCTCAAAGTACCTGGAAGCAATGATACTGCAGCAGTAATGAATATGCTAAACATCCAGAACTTGGTTTCTATATACAATTTCTCACCAAGCCTCCTTGGATAAATAGCCCTTTCCAGAGGTGAGGAAACAAAGCATAAGGTAAACCTGGAGTATTTTGTGTTAGAAAGCACTCCAAGATTAATTGGGAGCAGGGGTGTCAAAACACACAAGAGTCAGCTTGAAATGATTCCTACTTACCAAATCTGGGACAATTTGGCCATTAAAAAGAAAAACGACTGTAACTGGTTATAAAACAAGGAATAAATTAAAACCCATGAGAGTCCATGGTGGCATTACTCACCCCTCCCTGAAAAAACATCTTATTTGCCATCATTGGGGGGTGACTATTCCTCCAGCTCTTTACTATGAATATTGGAAAGCAAAGAGAAGAAATTTAACATTTAATTTGCATTTTGGGGAAGAACAATAGTTTAACTGCACTTAATTAAGGAAATCTCTTTCTTAGAGAGAACCTCCAATAAAATAACTGATTTAAGCAACATTCATCATGGGCGTTAAAAATCACTATGCAAAAGATTGTCAGAAACGGTATTTGCTTAGTGTCCACGGATTATCCCAAGATTACATATTAATCGCAAACTGGCAAACCACACCTTTACAACAGGTCAGTAGTCAGGACTTTATATATAATCAAATGGTTACATTTAGCATCATTAATAGTGCGGAAATCTGACATTATGTGCCCCCTACATTACGCAATAGGAGGTACACAGCATCACCTATTAAATATTCTTGCCAAGGAAGGTTTTACTTTAAGCTAATTAAGCCTTCCTTTACACCTAACTTCCAATTAATAGGAAATTTAGGGAGAAAGAGGAATAAATGAAATGACATTAGCAGGGCACAAATCCAGAATGTGGGTATATTCTACAAGGCAACTGGTTTGGTCAATTAGGTGTCAGAAAAAAAGGAAGGAGGGGACATTCATCCTATTTAACTTTCCCAGCAAAAAGGAGGGGGGATGGATACTATTCTTTTTACAAAAGAAACTAAAGACTTAATTACCAAATGCAATCAATGCATGAATATTGACTGACTACAGCTGGGGGAAGAACCCTCAAAGACACTTTGGAACAATTGAGGAATTCTGAATAAGGAGTTGTTGATTTTGACAGGTATTAATAATGATACTGGAGTTAGCAGGAGAATGTCCCTATTTTTAGGAAATATATGCTGAAACATTTGAGGATTATGGTTTCAAATAACTACACACATACAGAGAAAGAAGGGAAACACTATGGCAAAAATGCTAATCACTGAATCGGATATTCATTGCATTGATTAGCATTTTTATTCATTTCATGAATAACCAATCACAATTGCATAGAATCAACCTCTGTAAGACTGAAATTTTTCGTAACAAAGTTAATAAAATTGTACTTCCATTGAGAAGTACAGAAGAAAGTATATGAAAGTATACCTATACCGGAATTACATTTGGGTTGAAATCTAAACTATCTTACTAGTTGTGTGCCCTAAGGCAAGTTATAATTCTTAGGATCGCTATGTTTGTCACTTCTGTAAAATTCAAGTAATAATATTTGCATCATTAGGTTCTGAGAATTAAATGATTACAAATGCAAAAATGCCAAGCAGTACTGCAGAAAATAAACCTGGTTTTCATAATCAATATATTACTACTAAACCTAAAATACAAATCTACAGGACAATGTTCATTATATTCACACTCTATAAGGGGAAACTACATTAGATAAAATTATTATTAGTCCACTGGCAGTCCAAGCGAAGTAATGGGAGAAATGAAGATTTATACAGTATTTTTTAAACCCAGCAATTCCAACTGAACACCTAGAGAAAAGGAAATCAAAACTGTGCAGCCTGCTTCCGGTATTAGCCTATCTCCATATAAAACATTAAGAAAATAAGTGGAAGTTACAGAGAATTTCTTCCTGACTTCAAGAGATCATCTACTTACATGCTAAAAATGAAATTAAGTTTTTGTCTTCATTTCTCTAAGTTCCAAAAAAAGCACCCAATTACGGGGTTTTATTCTAAATTCTGCTTGGAGTCATAGAACTCACATGGACGCAATTTCCTTTAATCAGTTCTAACATACATGTCATTTCTCGAGGTAACCCCTTTTTCTGATTAGGCCAGCAATAAAACGACTAGATGCAGAGTGATCCTCAGGAAGGAAAGAAAAAGAGGTGTTTGTGTATACACACACACATATATACACATACATATTTTTAAAGAAGTGCCATCTTTCTCTTTCCTGTACCAGAGAAAAAGCAGAAAGGCAAAGGAGGAAAAAAAACCAGGTCTGAGCCTCCCGGGTTCGACCAGGTGAGAGGTGGCAATACCTCCGGCCGCTCCGGGTTAGGCTGCCGGGCAAATGGGCGTGCAAAGGACGGGCAGCTCCCTGGTAGGTCGGGGTAACTGCTCCGGGACCGCGGGGCCCAAGGCCGGTCTCCTCCCTGAAGGATTAAATGCCACTGAGGGGATCCCGTGGGGTGTCTCCCGGCGCGGACGAGGGTGACAGACCCGGCTCTCCGCTCCCTACGGCGCCAGGTGGGGCCCACGCGGTGTCAGCCCTGGGCGGCGTGCAGGGGCCGCCCCCCGCGCGGCCGGAGCCCGCCCTCTCCTCCCCGTTACCTGCGGGCGGCGGCGCCGGGCCCGGAGGCCTGCTGCTCCTCCTCCTCCTCCCGCCAGGCTGGGGCGGCGAGGCGGCGTCGGCGGCCCGGGGGGAGGGGGCGGAGCGCGCGGCTCGCTGCCTCTCTCCTCCCCCGGGAGGCTCAGGGGCCCCTATCTCGGGCCACCGCGCCTAGGCCCGTGAGCAGCCTGTGGCTGAGGCATGGCGGCACAGCCCACCGGCGTGCCTGCGAAGTAGGAGTGCGAGGCGGCTGGGAGGATAGCACCCCTGGCGCTCGGAGGGGCCTGAGGGGAGGAGCGAGGGCGCCTGGGAGCCGCGCGCGGGCGGCCGTTGGGGACGGTTGGCCGAGGGCAGGCGGTTGTTTGGGGAGCGCGGCGACGGCTCGCGTGTTCCCGGCGGGGCGGGGTGGGGAAGGGGAAGGGGACTGAGGGGAGGGGAGGGGGAGGTTGGGAGGGAGCCGCCGCCGCGCGCGTGCGGGCCGGAGCCGCCGCCGTTGCCGCTCCGCTCACTCCAGCCTGTTTGGGGGCACTTTGTTTGTGTCCCACAATGCTCTGCGCGGGCGGCCTGGCTGGGGAAGGAGGGGTGGGGCGGGGCAAAGCGAGCTCGGGGGCGGGACTCGGGGCGGGGAAGGAAACGTGATGATTGCGCAAGCGCAGAAAATGGGACCTCCTGGCCGTCGGGACTTGCACGGTGGGTGACTCCATCTCCTTAGACGGTAGAACCCGCGTGACCCAGAAAGGCGGTGGGTCTTGACACAGTATTTTTGCCTATGTGCGCACAGGTGCAGATTTTCGTATACCCCCATAAGCCCTGTCCCATTTGTCCTTCCTCTAAGCCGTCCTCCCATCCAGCTCCCCTCTCACACCTGGGAAGCGTTTCTCCGCAGGAGTCACACTTCTGGGAGTTTTTTTTTTCTTCGAACTAAAAGCATAACTCCTATTTTCTCGGGTGGTTTCTGTAGCTAGGGCGAAATCGAAACACTTAAGCCCCTCTTCGGCGAGGGAGGTCAGTTGGTAATTGCCCATTGTTCACCCATGGAAACGGGCCTGCCAAGGGCCGCCCCGCAGACGGGTGAGCCGGTGCCCCGGTCCTGGGCGGACAGCGACCTGCGGCGGGTGTCTGGAGTGTGTGGCTCCTCGGGCCTCCTCGCAGTGCTTGCTTTTTGCCGCTTAGCTCTTGCCTAGGTGACCCTGGCAGGGCGTGCGGCTCTGAGATGAGTGGAGAAATGGACTTCCAGGTCCCTCTCGTTCCTCCAACACAGGAACACCTAGAGCTGCTCCAAAAATATACCTTATTTCTTCCACGACCGTGAATCTGTCGTGTTTGCTTCACCATCACTTCCCTGGCCTTCCCGGAGGAAGTGTGCGGGCCACCCCAAAGTAACCAGTATGCCCGGTGTGTTTTGCAACTCTTGGTCGACTGCAAAATCAATCAACCTAGGCATAAGTCTCGGCTTCCCTGACCAGGCGGGCGAGCGCGCTCCGCACCGCCCCCGGAGGCCGTAGGGGCGCCCAGGACTGCAGGCGGCAGCGCCCCAGGTGCCTGGGGGCGGGCGGGGTGAGGGCAGGTGCTTCTTGGGCGCTTTGCGTTTTCCCACGCCTCCAGCTTGCAAACCGAAAGACTTCTTTCCAGAGGATTTTGTGCAAGGGGGGTGGACGTCCCCCGAAGTAGAGTGGATTTTTCTTCTGAAACACTTGGCAACGTCTCACAATAATTCACTCTTTGAGAGACAAACAGCCAAGCACCTGAGCACCCCAATTCTGACACTTGAAATCTTGAGGAAAAAAGGCATAAAAACAACTTGTGTTTTTATAGTCCTTTGCAGTTTCCAACAAGTTTTCAAGTACGGGTGTATGTTATTTAATCCTGACAGCAACCGTAATTCACAGGTTTTATCACAGGTTTTTATTATTAATTATTATTCCCACTATCATTTTTATTATTCCCATTTCAGAGATGAGAAAAATCAGAAAGATGCGAATTAGGCCCAGAAACTTTTGCACTAAGATTTGAAGAAGGGAAGGGAAAGAAGGCAGAATGCTTACCCGAGAAAGGACTAGTGGCCACAGAGCGAGACTCAGGAAAGGGCAGGAGCTAGAGCCCTGGTGAGGGGTGTGTGAGAGTGTATGTAGGTGGAAAGCAAATGGGAAAGAATCAGGATGGAATGAAGTAGTCAGATAAATCCTGTCTACCTCTCCGAGTGCCTTTAGCAGGGTAAAAGACCATGAGGCAAGTCTTTAGTCAGTGTTTCTCCAGGGACTGTGGTGGCAGCTCCCCAACTACCACAATGACACAAAAATTTTCTTTCCTTTGTAGTACAACCTGAAGTCAGGTAGAAGAATGCCTCTAGCTTGGTTATTTTTGCCCAGAATTGCTCTAGCTTTTCAGGGTCTTTCGTAGTTCTATACAAATTTTAGGATTGTTTTTTCTAATTCTGTGATTAGTGTCACTGATAGGTAGGGATTGCACTATACCTGTAGGTGGCTTTGGATAGTATGGATATTTTAACAATATTAATTCTTTCAATCCATGAGCATATCTTTCCATTTTTTTTTTTTTTGGTTCTCTTATATTTCTTTCATCAATGCTTATATTTTTCCGTGTAGAGATTTTTCATTTCTTTGCTTAAATTTATTCCTAGGTATTTTATTTTGCTTTTTTGTAGCTATTGTAAATGAGATTGTTTGCTTGATTTCTTTTTCAGATTGATGGCTGTTAGCTTCTAGAAAATCAACTGATTTTTGTATCCTGCAACTTAACTAAATTTGTTCATCAAAGTTCTGAGAGATGGATTCTTTAGGTTTTTCTAAATACAAGATCATGTTATCTACAAACAAGAATAATTTGACCTCTTCCTTTCCAATTTAGTTGCCCTTTATTTCTTTCTCTTGCCTAATTGTTGTGGTGAGGACTTCCAGAACTATGTTGAATAGTAGTGGTGAAAGTGGGTATCTTTGTCTTGTTCCAGATCTTAGTGGAAAGGCTTTCAATGTTTTCCTGTTCAGTGTGATATTAGCTGTGGGTTTGTCATACATGGCTTTTATCATTTAAAAACTTTTTTTTCCCTTAGATTATTCTCTTGTCTCCTCTGCTTTTCCCACTTAAAAAAAAATTTTTTTTTGAAGACAGGCTCTTATTGTTTTGTCCAAGAATGCAGTGGTGCAGTCATAGCTGCATATAGCCACAAACTCCTGGGCACAAGCATTCTCTGGCCTTAGCCTTCCAAATAGTGATGACTACTAGTGTGCCACCATGCCTGGCTAATTTTTAAAATTTTTTTGTAGAGCTGGGTCTTGCTATGTGAACTCGGGCTCAAGAGATTCTCCTGATTACAGGCGTAAGCCACCATGCCTGATTCTATTTCCTGCTTTTCTATTTCTCACTTAACATTGAAATGTTTTATCATCCTTCCACTCCACTCCCACCTCAGGTCTGAAGACTTTATTAACTAACAAATGACTGTGAGGCCCTTAAGGGCTCAGTGCCAGATGCTTGGAGAGGGTGTGAGAAAAAATACAAAGAAGATTAACTTTGCAGGAGCCCTCTTGTCTGTTTTGGCTCTGGGCAGGGTCAGTTTCTGTGGCTTCTGCAGCCTCCCACCTTTTTCCGTCTTGAGCTGGTAGAGACTTGCCTATGGGTTGCTGGAATATATACACCTTTCTTTGACACTAGGTTAAATAATACTGCTGGGAGGATTTTATGAAATGAGAATCCTGTACACAGGTGAAACAAACAAATGTAGACAGTATGAGGAACCTTTAATTATTAACCTGGTGTGGATGATTCTGAGGAATTCAAATTCCAGGCAAATTCCAGGAGTTATATTTCAGCCACAAGCTGTTTAGGGGACTAAATTCTGGCAAAAGATGGTACTTCCTTGTGGAAGACCATTAGAACTGAGCGAAAACTTATTTAGTCCGAAAGCATTAGCATTAAGGCATGAATGCTTTCTACCCAACCTTGCTTCCTTATTAGATCATCCAACTACACATGTGAAAAATTAATCTCACTCCCTTACCCTAAAATTTGTACCTCTTCTAGTGTGCGCATTTTACCATTCACCCAGTGGAGCAGATTGACTTTGCTACTTTACTACTGCATCTCAATTCCAATCCGTCAACAAGTCCTGTTGAATCTGTCTGTCTCCACTGCCACTGTCCTAAAATAAGATGATGCTAGCTTGTGCCTGGAGAGTTATAATGCCACTTAGGTGGTTTCCCGAATGCAATCTCCCTCTTCCTCCTTTTCTAAATGGTCGCCAGAGTTGTAATGCATAGCAGTCAAGTCACCCAACAATGCTTTCCTATTATTCTCAAGATAAAGCCCCAAACCCTTAGCATGGCTTTCACACCACTACGCAATCTGGGCCCTTTCAGTGTCTTGAGCTTCATCTCTTAACTATGCTCTTTCAGGAAACATGCCAGTTGCAGAGGCGGTTTTTTTTTTTAACGTCTTCTAAAATGCCATGCTCTTTCTCCACTACACATATTATTCCTTCTGTGTGGAAATACTGTACTCCATTCCTTAGCTGATTTCCTTTCCATCCGCAGATCTCTTCTTTTCCATATAGATGCACGCACGCACGCGTGCACACACACACACACACACACACGTCAGCTTTCTTGAGATATAATTCACATGCCATACAATTCACCCATTTAAGGTATGTAATGAACTGGCTTTTCGCATATTCACAGAGTTGTGTAACCATCACCATAATCAATTTTATAATGTTCTCATGACCCAGAAAGAAACACATAACCTGTTAGCAGTCACTCCCATTTTCTCCCAACTCTGGCCCTACAAACCACTAACTTAATTACTTTCTGTCTGTACAGTTCTGCCATTTTTTCTTTTTTGCAGTTTCAGTGGGGAGTTGTGCCGCGTTTGGCTGGTATATCGGTTAAGTTCTCTGCATTGTTTTTCCTCTCTTTTTTTCCCCCAGCATTTGTAAAAAGGGACTAGGTTGTTTGCCCTATAATGTTTGCCACAATTGATTTTGTCAGCTGCATCCCTGTGGAGCATTTATGTTCCCTTATCTGCATTTAGTGTAATTTGACAGTAGGATCTAAATGTTTTATCAGATTCAAATTTAATTTTTGGCAGTATTACTTCATAGGTGGCAGTGTACTTTTCCACTGAGAAATATAGAATGTATGCTTGTCTTTCTTTTTGTGTTGTTGGCAGCCATTGATGAGAAATATCTAGATCAATTCATTCATTAGGAGTTTTT